ACCAAATTCACGTAGAAAATAATTTCTTAATGATAATTTTGAATTTTTTTTTATTTGATGAAGTGATACAGCATTTAAAATTGGCTCAATTAAACCTACAAAATCATTCATATAGATTCAATTATATTAAAAAGAAAAAAAAAACAAAAAAAAACAATATCTATGTATTTGTTTTTTTATTTACCACTATTATTTGATAAAACAAGTATATTAATTGGACGTACAAATACTGGAACATGTTCATTTGCCCAAATTTCTTTTAATCGTACCATAAATTGATAAGCAAGTAATTCATGACGAAGATCATCACCACATTTAACAATAGCTGCAACAAGTCTCCAATTTCTTAAATGACCATAAGGTGATGATTGTCGAATTCTTTGTTCTTTTTTATCCCATGGTTCTTTTAATGTTGCTGCTGATGGATCCTCAGGATCACGCTATGAAGAAAAATAAATAAATAAAAAAACAAAGAAAAAGAATATCTTTTTTTTTCATTTACATCGAATAATATTGGTCCAGTTGTATTTACTTCAGTTAATCGTTTTCGAATGTCTGATGGCATAATTTCTTGTTGACTTAAACGACTTTCTGTTGAACGTATAGATTGTGTTTCTGGATTAATATTCATCGTATGATTCGATCGATAACCTATTAAACCATTACGTCTTGATACAGATTGTGATGATGATTGTTGTTGTTGTGGTTGTGGTTGTTGTTGTTGATCATCACCATTAACATCATCACTTGTTGACCATATATCAGCATCTTCACTATTAACAAATGATCGATATGAATCGATTAATTCTGAATCAAGACTTTGTGTTTCACAATTAAGATAACCACCAATTGTTCCACTAACTGATGTTGTTTGATGATTAATTATATGATCTATAAGATTTTCTTCTGATCGTGTTGAACGTAATTTTGATTCATTTTGTTTTATTGGTAATGGAGATGCAAAAACATTATCACAAAGAACAACTTCAATATAAACAATGTAAGGTGCCTATTTTATATACAGAGAAGATTAGAATTCTTTTTTTAAAATTATTCTTTCAAAAAGACTAAGGAGACATTTTCAGATAAAGAATTACTGATCGAAAAATTGAAAACAAAAATTTGATTATCGAATTTTTTCTTTCAAGTTTCGATCATTTTTTCAAAAAAATTTGTCAAACTCATAAATTTGAGTGACAAGTAAAAGTGACCTTCATGTTTCTTTATTTGATACATACGCGATCTCGAGAATTTAATACAGTTGACTCTGTATATGCAATTCGAACAACATGATGTGGAAATTTATAAAATGGTATCCAAACTCGTGCTGGTAGATTCATATTCATTCGTTTCATTTCACTAATTAAATTTTGTGCTAAAATAGAAATTTTTGATTGAATTATCTTTTTTTTTTTTAAAACATTTAAAATTATTTACTTTTTTTATCTTTTGTTGGTACATGTGGTAGTTTTTTTCCAATATTAATTAATGCTGTCATGAATTCTCTAACTGGAGCTAATTTTGGAGCCTATTTTTTTTTTTTATTCAAATATAGAATAGAATGAAAAATCTTATAGGATATATATCAAAAATAGTAAAAGTAGCATTATGATACATTAGACAAAGTTTAAGGAAATTTTCGATCTTTGTTAATAGAAAGATATATATATATATAATGGCTTAAGAAAGTGTCATTTGCTGTTTTAATCAAAACTCTAGAAAATGCGACTTCTTGTTCAAAAAGATACAATATAAGACTTCTAATCTTAATATATCGTTATATATATTTTTTTTTACATGTGATGTATAATAAATCCTAAGTGGCACTATATATATATATATAATTACTGATAGTTCAAATAGTACTGTAAAATTCTATAATGTTTTATCATTGTCCAGTACATTTTATAATATGAGAACTTCGATCAATAATGTTTACTTCTGATATAGACGGACAAGGCAAAACGTTTAGTTACTGTATTAGATTTTCGATGGCAAGGGTCTATCTCTAACAACAATTAAATCATCTAAACATATCAAACAGATCAATTGTTATATTAATAATAATCTTTATATTACAATTAACGAATTGCAAATGTACATTAATATAAGTCATAGTGTTATTGAATGAATAATCTCTGATCTTAAAAAATATCAACATTTGTTGTCAGTGTTTTATCGAGGATTTTTTCTCCGGAGGGGCGATTTGAATTTCCAAGGGGACGAAAAATTATTTTCGGGGGGGGGGGGGGGGGGGCCGTGTTTTTGTAGCAGGATTATCACAAGTCCCGGAGGGGGAGGGGCGGGGGCGCCGCCCTCCCCCTCCTGGCACTCCTCTGGATAAAACACTGTTTGTTGTATATCGAAATGATTGATCTTGAGACTGATTATAAAAGAAATAGTTTGAATTAGAGGTCATACATTATGAAATCATTCATATTGTTTTCCAACTGTTCTAACAAATGAAGGTTAGCTCTCGAAAATAAAATATCACTCAACACTTAATCTAATATATTGTAGTGCTACTTTTGAAATGTTCTCAATACTAAAGAAAAAAGAAAAAGATATTTACATTGCATGTACATTCTCGTCGTCGAAATCCATTGACATTTTCAAAACACATACAATTATTATCAAAAGCACGACCTGAATTAAGATCGCCTATACAAAGTCTTGGTTGACGACGATGTTTATTTGTATCACCATTCATAATCGGTAATGAACGTTCTTGAAAATAAATAATAGATCAAATTAAAAAAAAAAAAACAAATAAAGAGAAAAAAAGAAATAGATCCTCTCTAATAACACACAATCATAAAAATTCAGGTTAATTTCAACTATCATTCTATTATTAGTTTTTAACAAACTCTCAAATACAACTTACTATAACGAGAAAATACAATTCCTATATTTCATATTTGATCCATAAGTGTTAAAAATATATATATATATACATAATATTCGTTTTAAGATATTATACCTGAAACATCACTTCTAGATTTTTGATGTCCTCGTTTTTTAGTCAATGATAACATTAAATTTTCTTGACTTAATGCACGTTCTGATTTAATATCATCATCTTGATTTATAACATTCTCATTTTCTTCTTCATCAAGTCTATGATGATGATTGCCTATATTATTTATTGTTGTTGGTTTAAAACATATTTTTGGTTTATATTTTTCATATAATATATCAAATAAAAGTCGAACAGCTGCATTTGGTTTTTTAGCTAATTTCATTTGATCAGCTATATATGCATCAAGTAACCATGCACATTGAAGAGAAAAATCAACACTTTGAGAACATCTAAATTAAAATAAATTAATTTTTTTTTTTTTATGTGAATAAAAGAGTCTTTGTTGTTTTATTGAATTTTTCTGTATTTGTTTTTATCTGCACTCGATACAATGAATTATATGTTAGTAGAAATTTACTATAATCTTCCGTTATTGAAATCTAATCTTATCAAAAAGTTAAAAGCTCAAAGAGTATCCTAGACAAAAAATATCAAACATAGTCCCTTCTCATAAAATAAACTGATGCTCTTATCTAAGTAATTGTCTTTTAGAGTCTTTTACATTATATAAAACTTATACAAAGGAATCTGAGTGGAACGCTCAATCACTAATTTCAGAAATTTTCGTACGATTATTTAAAAAATTGACGAGTTTAACTTCCATAAAAGTTATTGATTGCTTTTATCTTACAACTTTCTCAAATAGATACAGTAAGGTAAAAACCTATGAATTGGATATAGATGTTTTTATTTGAAAAATATTTTCCGTAGATAAAGAGTTTTTCTTCAAAGTTATTATTTGTTTCAAGTTTGATATATCCATAGAATTCATAGACAATAGATTGATTTTTAAAAATAATTATTTTTCATTTCTATATGATTATATTAGTTTAACATTGATGACTATTTCATATTTTGTTTCGAATTATACAACTAAAATTTATCAAATAGTTTATATATATTGTTATCATCATTGAATCGCATTATCTCTAGGATATAATCGATCATAATTAAAACTAATGGAAATGATGAAAGAATCTTGCTAATGATTAATTTGCAAATTTAACTTGGAAACTTCTAGAAATATAACTTAAGAATTTCAAATAATTTATACTGTTTTCTTATCGAACTATGAAATGATCATGATTCAAAGCAAAATCATGAATGTTATGAACTCACAAATTATATTTCATTAAAGACTACGATTTTTTTTTTAAATAACCATTCTGTGTTTAAATCCAAATATTATATTTTTAATTAACATAAAGAATTCTATTATGATTTGATACAAATTAAATTGTTTAATTTACCTTGTTGTTATGTAATTATGAATAACATTAGCAATTGTTGGTATATGAATATACATATTAATTAATTGTGGTAAATAAAAATCAAGTTCATCATTAGGATAATCAAATAATTTTCTACCAAGAAATTCTTGTACCATAGGTTCTTTTGTACTAAATAAATATGATATAACAATTGATACCGTACATACAGTTGAATCAAATAAACGTAAAAGACCAGGATGTTTTAGTGATAGATGTTCTATTGTAGAGGTAACAGTTGTTGAATCTACATCATTAGAAAAAGTAACCGTCTTTTCGATCGGTGATAAAGCAGTAGGTGTTGTTGATAATTCATTCTCATTTGATTCAGGTTCATCTTCAGTTATTTTTATTTTATCAAGGGTTATTGGAATAGGTGCAGCAACTATACTATTATGTGTTGGTATAGTTTTTTGAGCATGTCTACGAAAGAACATCATCTTGAAAGTATATACTGAAGGAAAGTCTTCAGCATAGTTAACATCTGAAATACCAAAAAAACAAAAATTTGTGCGAAGTTCTCAATTTTTATTAAAATGAAAGAGGAAATAGGAGAGAAAGAAAAAAAAAATATATAATTAACAAAATGAAAAAAAAAAAAAAAAATCATGTCTCTTATTTGTTTTGGTTAGGTTTCCGTTTAACGGACTAGTTTAAAAATCATCCTCATCATCACTCATTTCTTTGGCATACTCTAATTCTTCTTGTTCACGTTCACGTCGTTCCTAAATTTATAAAAAAAAAGGAAAAAATGAAATTTTAATTCTTTATTAATAAACAAAAAAAGAAAAAAAAGAACTGAAGATATAATTTACTTGAGCTGTTTCTAATTCTTCATGATATTTTTTTGGTGGATAACGCATAGCTTTAACAGCTTCATTATGAACTTTAAGACAAAATTGAATACGTTGATGAAATGCATTCATTGGTTCACGTGTTGTATAAACATCAATAATTTCACGTGATTGTACATAACCTTGTTCATGATTTATACTTGCTTCAATTACACCATCACGAATAGCCTATAGAATAACAAAAATAAATAATTGGTTAAGTGTATTTACTTTTTTTTTTATCGAACTTTCTCAGATTAAAGATCAAAAACTAACGAGTATTGTTTTTGTTTTTCGTAAGCAACAGTCATTGAGTACTGTTTCATAGAAAAACAAGAAAAATCGACTTTAGACTTCTTAGCAATGGAAAAATAGAATGTTCCGAATTGTATTAACAATAAGGCTTAGAATATTCTAAATAATTTAATTTTTTATTTTTGCACAAACAAAAAAATTTTTGTCAAAAATTATTAATAATAGTATAGTAATTTGTCATACGTTATAAAAACTAAGTTATAACTTTGAGATATAATCAATATTAAATGCTTATAGATTTATCAAGATAAACAATAGAGTATGTTGAGACTTTCTATACATTTGATAGATCTGGATAATAGATTTATTTGCCAATGAAATCAATGTTAAATTAAGAAAGATAGAATACGAAAAAAAAAAAGAAATATAATGAGTAAATATTAACAATGCAAATAAAAAAAAAAACTCGATGTCAGAAAAATACTTATGTTCGATATGCAGAAATAAATAAAACAATATTATTTCTCTGGCAATTGATTATTCTTGAAAAACAACTATAATCTGCTAGAAATTTTCCACTTAACGTATTTTCTATTAAGTATAATGAGACTAAAGAATATATATGTAAGTTCTATGCATTAGTATTGACGAAGACATCGTTGACATGTTTATTTTCTTTCTATTACTGTAGATTTATGAAAGAAATTTCCTAGCAATCTTTAAATATTTATTACATCTATAAAATAAATTTTATTTTTGTTTTGCTTTCATCTATTCATATGAAAAAGACCAAAAACATTGATCTTAAATATCGAAAATCTTCAATAGCTCAACAAATCTGTTTATATCTCTCTACTCAATAAAACTTAAAATTTCCGAAATAATAACCTACTATTATTTTTCTGAAATTAAGATTCCTCAAAGAATAATCTATAGAAAAGAGCATTTCATGTCATTATAATCAGTTGATTCAAAAATCAAGATTGACACTTATTAGTTGAAATTATTTGCTGACACAATTAATTAAACTATATCCTTATATCACATTTATTAACTACTATATTTATAATATTCTTATATATATATATATACACTGTAAATTTTATTTAAATTCTGTTTTGTAGAAAATCGACTTTAAATAAGCTAAAGCATTTTCAAACTTTTATTACATATTCGTTGAATTTCAAACTTTCAGAAAATCGAAACTTGAATATCAATAATTTATTTTCAAGAAAGTAGAAATTAATCGTGGAATTCGTATGATGTAGGTGAAGTTAGCCTCATATTCGAGTAAATACAGCCGATATTCGTTCAGGAAGCTGCTCCAGAATAGAACTCGACGAGCTCCATCGATTGGTAACCTTGGATTTTCTATACCTCAAACCATTTGTGAAAGAATCCCAAAATACTAATTTTTCACTATGTGAATCTTACCATATGGTTAGTAAATCCAGCTGATATTCGTCTAGGAAGCTGCTCCAGAAAGTTCCAATGTAGAACTTGGCCAGCTCTATCGATTGGTAACGGTGGATTTTCAGTATCTTGGGTGTGGGTCTTGCTCTCATACCAACACCCACATCCAAGATACTGAAAATCTAACGTTACTAATCGATAGAGCTGGCCAAGATCTACTTTGGAACTCTTTGGAGCAGCTTCCTGAACGAATATCAGCTGGATTTACTAACCATATGGTAAGATTCACATAGTGAAAAATTAGTATTTTGGGATTCTTTCACAAATGGTTTGAGGTATAGAAAATCCAAGGTTACCAATCGATGGAGCTCGTCGAGTTCTATTCTGGAGCAGCTTCCTGGACGAATATCGACTGTATTTACTCGAATATGAGGCTAACTTCACCTATGTATTCGTATGGGCATTTCTAGAATATCCTTCATTAAATTCTATAACTTATTTTCTAGTTTACAGTGTATATTATTCATTTTAATTTTTCTTTTAAATGTAAAACTTACTTTAGCTACAATATATTCAGCATCTTCTGGTGAATCAAGTTGTAATTTTTGTGCAATATCACTAAAAGATATTTTTGCATATGATAAACTAATCATTTTAATTCCTGTTTTAATAACATTATGTCGTAATCTATAATATTTGAAATTAGGTTTTGTTTTTTTCTTTGCAAAGAAAATTTTTAATTTTAACAAACCGTATAATAAGTGACCAAGTTTTTTCTTGTTGAAAACGATTCGAATATGTATCAAGAACTTCTTTAAACCGACTTAAATCACCAGCACGTACAGCTAAATATATATATTAAATATTACAAAAAAAAAAAAAAAATGAAATTTTTTTTGTAATTTATTTACCTAATGTTAATTGATAATATGGATCTAATGAACGTTTAAGTTGAGGATTTTTAAATATTGCTTTATCAGGAATATCTCCCAAAAGTAATTCAACAGTAATAAGAAATTTATATGCCTAAATAAAAGAAAATTTTTAATTATATTTATCTGAAAAATTTTTCAATTATTTACATCCTGTCTAAAACCAATCGCTGTTTGTTGTGGAGCTTTTCGTATAGCTGTTAATAAATGTTGATGAGCTTTTGTATATTCTAATTGCATAGCACGTATTCGACCTATAAAAATAATACATATTTCTTTTTTTTTTTCTTCTTGTTCTACGATTCAATATAAAAATATTTACCTATATAATAAAGATATCTAGCCCATTCATTATTTGATGCATGATCAGGAAAAACTGATTTTAATACAAGTTTTTGTGCTTGACTATATAAATTATAATGAAGATAATTTCTTAATAATAAATTAATTAATACAGCTGTTCCTTCAAAATCATTACGTAAGGTTGCTGTACGTAAACGACTATGTAAAAATCTAAATAAATGATTTTTAATGATGAACAATAAAAAAAAAAATTTAATTTAACATTACGGTCGAATTGTATCAAGCATATTATTTAATTCAAATATACGTGCATAATAAAAATAACATTTAGCTGATAGTAAATCTAATGTTCGACGATTTAATACACTTGTTTTATCAACAAGTCGTTTAGCACAATCTAATGCCTTAAAATACAAAAATTATCTCTTGTTAATAATTAAATTTAAAAAAAAACATTCATACAGATTTTAATGAATTTCGATCAATTAAATGAAGAAGTACAATTAAATGAATATATAAATCAACTTCTGGTAATGCAACTGCACGTGCTCTTGATGTTTGTGGACGAGATATTAATTGTTTTTCATTGATTGTATTTATTTTTCCTGTATCAACATCCATTGGCTAAAAGAATTTTTTTTTTTTATAGAAAAAAAATCTTTAATTTTCTTTTATAATTTTGAAATTTAATAAACCTGAGAAATTGTTTGAATAAAATTAAGAAGAATTTCTCGTTCAGTCGAATTCGATCCATAATAAAAACAAATAAGACGACGAATAACATCTTCATTAAGACGTTTACGTGTTGATGCAAGTGCACGTAATACACGAAGTATATATCGAGGTTCTTTTGAATTTACAGCTTTTTCAATTGTACGTACTTGTTCTTTAATATCTATTTTATATAATAAGAAACGTTTTTGTTTTTTTTTACAAATGAAATTAATTTTCAAAAAAAAAAATCTTATTAACCATCCAATGTTAATGTATCAGCATCTTTTTTCTCATCTTTTGATGTCGCTGTTGTATTTGAACTAGGTGTTGAATCGACTTCTTTCATTTCAACATCATTTAATTCAACCATGATATTATTATTCTAAAAAAGTAAGATTAGATCTAAAAATACAATTAGATAATGAAATTAAAAATTTTGATTCAAATAAAGGTAACTGAAAGAAAGAAAAAAACAGAAACCTAAAGTCATGAAATTTAGACATGAATCATTATAAAGAACAAATAAACAAGTTTGATTAATTGGCTAACATAAATTCATCAATCATAGATGATTCAAAAGATGTCGTTATAAGAGATTTATTTAATTTGATTAGATATGCTAATTAAAAAGAAGATTTTTTTTTCGTTTTAAATACATTCAAATTAATATTGTTTTAAATAAATGAAAACTGATGAATGTTTTTTTTTTTTATCAAATAAATACATACATATTGTTTGTTTTCAATATAGGTAACCGTAGTAAAGATTCTCACGAGGGAACTTTTTTTAACTATCAAATAGTTCTTCAGTTAGATCTATATACTTTATATAAGTCTTAATGAACTATGCATATTTTCAAAAAGAATTTGAATTTTTAGCTTATTACTATGGAAATACTGCATTTTTACGACATCTTTTTTTTTAAAACACAATGCTATGATTGATTTTCCTCAGCCATTTCAGGAACACTGATTTTTGAATTTTGACATGAAATTTTGCTCAAAGACAATGCTTCACGAGAATAATTTCTTATGAATGTTTTCAGATCTTGTCATTGTTGCTTTTTAAGTTGCTCATATACACCAGACATATTTCGATATTCTTCTTGGAGAATAGTAGCACTTAAAATATTTGAAATTTTTACATATTAACTATTCTTGTTGAAGTTTATATTTGGAAATATTCTCTGAACAATTTCAAATGTTCGTATACTGAAACATTTTTCAATAGGATACCTGAAAAAATACTCTACTAATAATTTGTAAAAGGATATATGTAGGTTACTTGTTCAGTTTCTATAATATTGCATTAACAGCTCCTCAACAAGTCAGTCGGCTGAACAATTGGAAGCGTTTTAGATTCAATTACTAAAGAGTCTAAACTTTAAGGTACTAAAAAATCCAAGAGTTTCTGTTACGTATTAATAGCAGCGAATTCTTTCAAGTATTTTTGATCATCAACATGTGAGATGATTAAATTAGTACGGTTATTTAATGGTTATTAGTTCACTATATGTCAAATAATAATTTGTTTATATTTAAGAAAAAATGAAAATATTGTGTTTTGTATATTTTCTTAACGAAAAGAAAGAGCAAACATATACATTATTCTCGTAAGCAATTTAATTTTTTGAGTTATTTATTAGTACATTTACAAGATTATATATTACAAAAAATTTATATTCTATATAGAACATACTTCATTAATTTTGTTGCCAGTTATAACTTTATGAGAAGATGTATCCTATCTGATGTTTTTTGCCTATTCGACTTTATTCATACAAGACAAGAAGTCCTCTATATTTTTCGATACACTTGAACTTTGCATCAGATCACAGTGGCCAATTTCTAAAGAGTATGTGAACATTAATTGATTTTTTATTAAAGTTAGATTTTTCTCTAAGAAATATTAGTTTTCACTGCTCAGGATGTATGATTGAGTTGAAAAATTAAGAAGCTATAGGTCATTCAATGAAATTTTCAGAACTGATTCTAAATCTCACATTTGTTTTTTCAAAGATCGATTTCTACCCAGAAAAAAAGAAACTCGATTTGATCAAAAACGACAAAAGGTTTTTTTTTTGGGAATCCTTCAATTGAGTTCAAGAACTTTTATGCTAACTAACGTGACATCAAGCATACAAGAGAATATTTTAGCGAAGTTTCAATGAGCGCCCAATAAGGCCGCGCAACAAGGGATCGATAACATTTCAGTAAGAAAAACGCAAACGTCATGAAATAGTCAATGATTCGATATACATGTAATGCTATTTGAATCTCTATCTGTTGTTAGGAATGTCTCGAGCAATAAGTCGATGGATAACCTCCATTTTTCTTTTTTTTTTTTTTGCAACGAAACGAAACTCTTATATTTGTTGCGAATCCTATAAGAATTAATCCCATTTAACATAATGATTCTGTATGGTTAGTTTTCATGTGACTTCCGTATATGTCTAATTCATCGACAATATTTTGTCAATATAAGCTACAGTTTTATTTAGCTATTATTTTTACATATGATTTCATGTATAGTTAGATTATTTTTGTTTGTTTCTAAACAAATCATGATGGTACAGTAACAAAAATTTTAACTCAATGCCTCGTTCTTTTTATCAATCAAATATTTCATTCGTAACTCACATACTTTTTAGGTACTTAATCCTAGCAGTCATCACAACACCGATAGATATTTTTTTCTCTGCAACTTATGTATATTTGACTAGACTGAATAGACGACAATGAAAAAGAGCAAATAACAACTATATGCGATTATTGTCTATATTGACGTTTTCAATCATGCGACCAATTGAATTATTTCTGAAGAATACGAATGAATGAGATATAGAGGTGTCCCCTAGCGGAGGTCTACCTATTGCGATGATGCTTGAGAAACTTTTATTTTTTTCTAATGAAAGTCAAACATATTATTAGTTTTTTTTTTGTTCATGAATTCCTAAAAAAAAGCTCGCTGAATCTCTTCCATCGGAAAAACGATCTACATCAAAAAAACTTCCAACCATCTTTCTGAATCATCAAATCCTCGCCCCCGACATATTGGTTGGTGACCTTGAAACATATCCGATTACATAGTACAATGTACTATTATGCTGTATTTTTATTATTAAATATCGATATGTCAAATTTGTTTTCTTACACCATCTATCGTAAATTTCTATTGGTAAAAATAAATAACAAATAAAATTTATTGTTAATATAACGAATCAATTATGTTTTCGGGTTTAAACATTAGATCAAATTTAAAATTATCAAGATGCCACCAAAAAAAAATTCTCAAATAGCAACAAATTCTCAATCATCAATTAATATAAATAATTCAGATGATGATGATAATAATAATGATAATCATATATATGAAGATGATGCTAATGTACGACAAATGATTTGTGCATCAATTCAATATTTATTAATTCATAGTTCAAAATTACAAGTTATTAAACGACTTGATTGGATAAATACAGTATTACGATCAATGTCTAATGATGGACGAAAATATTTTCCTATTGTACATAAACATGTTGTTAAAATTTTAAATGATACATTTGGTTATAAACTTATTTTTGATGAAAAACATGATGGTAAGAAAATAATAATCACAAAAAAAAGAAAAAAACAATCATTTAATTTTGTAAATATTTAAGGTTATATATTAATAAATAGTTTAAAACAAGGACCACTTGAACATCGACCATTAGTAAATTCTAATCAATATTCAAAATATGCATTATTAATGATAATAATAGCTTGTTTAAAACGTGCTGGTGGTGAAATGACATCAATAGATTTTTGGGGTATACTTGGTGAAACATTTTCTATTCGTAATGATGAATCAACACGTTTAACAATAAATCAACATAAAATATTTGGTGATGTACAAAAATTAATTAAAAATGATTTTGTTAAAGAAGGTTATATTATATTTGAACAAGCAAAAGATTTTACGGGTGATACACCAACACAAACAGTTAAACTTGCATTTCGTGCACAACATGAATTTCCTGATGAAACACTTGAAAAATTTATTGAAAAAGTTGAAGATTATGGAATTGAAAGTGATAGAGAGGATGATGATGATGATGATGATAATAATAATGCAATGGATGAAGATAATTAAATAAAAGATTAATATAGTTTTCTCTTTCTTTTTTTTTTTTGTTCTAGATGAAGAATAATAGTTTTGATGAAGTTAAAATTCAATTTGAAAAGGTTTTATTTAGATTTTAATAATAATAGTTATTTCGAAAGAAAAATAAAAATTCTTTTTTTTTTTTGATTTTCATGTATAGTTTCTATCTCTAATACGAAATGTTTTAACATCGGAAAATGAAATAAATATTATTCAAAATAAACTTCGACGTCATTTTAATACAACAACATCTGATTATTTATGTTCAAATGAATTTATATTATCACTTAATCATATTCATAATATATTTGTTGAAAATAAAAAATCAGTAAAATATTTTACATTATTAGCTTCATTTGATGAACAACTTAAAAAACATTCTATTAAATTATCAAGGTAAATATCATTTTGTTAATCATATTTTTGATTTAATTATATCAAATCAAATAAAATGAATAAACAACAGATAATGTTGTTACAAGCAGAGTAAAATTGAAGAAAGAGATAATGAGTTTCGTTCTCCTTCATCCCTAAGAGATAGTGATAATCCTAGACATGAGCAGTATCAAGAACATTTCAATTCTGTTCGTTTTTTTTTTTACAAAACTATTCATCCGCTTTAACACATCACCGTCAAAAAGAAAACTTGCGGTAGTTTCCCGATACTATGATCTATTATTCAGACCGTCTGAAACAACAGTTCAAGCTGTTTACAAAGATGGAATAACAGTGTGATTACTGCTCTAAACTATGAAAAATGATCGTCAGTTTTCACTATACTATATTTTCATAACTTGAATTGCACTCTAAGTAACATTGTATTAGTATAGGAAAAATTTCATTATATAAATAGCATTCCTACGTATGAATTTGTCACCACCCGCTACATTCAAAGTAGATGTGTGAAAAAAAGGGGGGGGGGGCACATACAGACACAATAATCATGCCTTCTGTGCATGAAAGTATCATTAAACATTTTTTTTTTGTAGATAAAGTAGTTTACTACGTAAAAAAAAAGTATAATTTTAAGAATGTATTAGTGGCATAGCCAGAAATTTTTCAAGGGAGGTACCAACTAGAGGTGTAAGCCATCCAGCTGCGCCATCGCCGCCGCTGATGTTTTTCAAAAATCAGCCGCCGCCGCTGTGAAAAAGTTAGTTTAGCCGTTGCGCCGCCGCCATGAGCGAAAATTTTTGATAATAGTATGATGCGCCGCCACCATTGACATCGATACATATGCGATTAGTCATTTCTCGTATTTTAGGAGCGAAAACGTCTTTTTTTTGAATGTCAACGCCGCCGCCGCCATGGAAAAAAATTAAACCATTAAAATAGCCGCCGCCGTTTGACCCCTCGGCTTACACCTCTAGTACCGACTCATTATGAGATGTGCACACCATTAGCAAAATAAATTTTTATTTCTCAAAAAAGATATTTTACTTGTATTCCGTTCCAGGCGTTTTTTTTGGCCAAGGGGATACCCGGGCACCCTGTGCACATTCCCTGGAATGTATTCTCTTAATATGTAATTCACTACAGGCGTTTTTAAACTTGAATAAACTTCCTACTAGACATCTAGAATACAAACGAATGAATTTTATCATCTATGGAACTTACCTACGAAAAAAAAATGATGATCGAGAAATATGAGAAGATGTGTACATGTACTTAGATAACTTAATATTATTTATCATGTAACTAACTTAAATAAGTTAATTATGATCTGATATTAAGAAAAAAGAGGAAATTTCCGATAGGATATACGAAACATGAAGCTTTTGTCAGTCACTTATGGTCAATTACAGATCGTTCTATTCGATCTGAGTATGGATTGACTCAAAATCTAAATTATAGAATCTATTGAATTCTTAATTCAAAGAAACAAGTTTTCATACTAATCTAATAATAAATTACAAGTTAAATAAAAACTTAGTATTTTTTGTTCAGATCAAATTCATTGTCAACTCAAATTTCTGAATGTTTACCTTCTATGATAACTACTATTGAAACTAACTCAGTAAATGAGATAGTTACCACAACAGTTCCTTCTAATATTTCAAAATCTACAATTGAATATGAAACATCAATAACAGATGTACAAGAAGTAATAAATCATCTTGTAAATGAATGTTGTAATACATTATCAGAATCTACTTCATCAAAAAAGAATTCTGTTAATAATATAATATCAACATCTACTCATTCAAATCATGATTCAAAACATCAACGAAAAATAATTAAATTAGAACGACGTTTACAACGTTTATCAAGAATAATACGTGAATTAGAAGAAAAAGATATGTCACTTGATGAAATGGCACATTGTGATTTATATGTTGTTGAATCAAATTTAAAAAAACAAGCATGTGAAGTAAATTTAAAAAAAAAAAGCTTTTTTTTGATAGAGAAAAAAAAAGAAAGTTTTAAAACTATTTAGATTCATAATAAACTTGCTAAACTTAAAAGTCAACCATTATCAATTGAAAGAATTATTCATCGTCCAATTGTTCTCAATGGTAGAGTATTTCTTTTTTTTTTTTTTTTTGTTCTTTCAAATATTATTTTAATTTATTGAAAGAATCTGACATTGGTCATTCATTAATACAGAAAGATCTACAAGAAATGGTTAATCAATCAAAACATTTTCCTTCATTTAGTGATGTTCTTGATACAGTTGAAAAGGCAATTAATAAATATAAACTTAATTTTAAGTAAAATAAATTTTATTTTATTTTTTTGTTAATAAATGTATATATATATCATTAAATTTTAGTGAAGAAACTCGAAAAAATTTTGCTGAAAAATCTTTTAAAATCATTGGTAAAGAAATTAAAAATCGACGAATGGCTGATTTTCAAGATATTATGTATAGTCGTCTTCCAGAAGATTTTAAGTATGAAAAAAAATTAAATTTTCATTCTTTTCTTTTAAATAAAACGGATTAGAAATATTCGTTCAGTTTTTTTTTGCACACTTTTAAAGAAGTCTGCAGATCTGAAAAAAAATGAACAAACATTTTTATCAATTTACTTTTCGATAATCCATTGTACATAATCATTGATCTGAATATATATATATTTGTTTTGTACTTATTTCAGTATTGAAAGAGATGATCCAGCATTGAAGAATGCTGAAATTGAAAAAGTTTTAACAGAAAATAATCGTGAAGCTATTATTAAAACAGAAAAAGTATGTTAAATATAAAATCTAAATCGTATAATTATTTTATTTTATTTCTTTAAAAAAAAAAAGATTTTTGAAGAATTTTCTAAAATTGAACCTGATCCGGAAGCTGAAATCAATATTGAATCAACTGAAGCAGAAGAATCAATAAATGAAAATAATGATAAAGATGAATCAGCAAATGAAAATAATGAACAAAATCAATCATCAGTAGAAAATAACGAACAAGAAGAAACTCAAACAATCGTAGAACCACATGAAATACAATATGATATTGTTGATCTAGGCGTACCATCATGTAAAATCCATGATTTTAGAATTTTATTTTTTAATAAAACAAAAAAAAACTTCTTTACTTCTTGTTTTCATAGCACCAGAACCAATAAATCAAAATCTATCAGAATCAAATTCTATTGAAACAACACTTGAAATATCACTTAATGATCGTGCATTAACAATATTATCAACAGCTTCATTACCTATTAAAAGAACAATACATAATCGAGAATCAGAAATTTATAATAATATTCAATCATCATCGGCCACTGAAAAAGATAGTAATGTCGAAACATTAATACCACGACGTAAACCAAATTTAGCTGATAATGAAATTATATATAGCCTTTACAAACAACGATTGACAAATAATGTTTCAACTACATCAACACAAATGACTAAGAAAAGACAATCAACAATAAATACCGAATATACAAATGTAAAAAAAGGAAAGCAACAACAACCACAATCAGAAATTATTGTACTTGATTAAATGTTGAACTGTTCTATACACATGTATAAACTCTGTTGTTCTATTTGAAGTTTCTATGTTATAAATAAATATATACATATATATTTGCATTTTCTGTCAAATAGATACTATTATGCTTTTCATTTTTTTCAAATTTCAATTGATAATTCTTTCATTGAATTGATAGCAATCAACAAAAATTTTCACTTCCCTTTCAGTTGTAGTTTTCTAGAACTTTTAATAAGACCAATATATATATATAGGTTTATTAGTACAATAACAGCACGCAGTACTATTTTTATCCTAGATTTCGTTAGATTCAAAGCTCAGTAATGCGTCTATGACGAGAGTATTCTATTATGTTGTGATAATAGTGAAATATCGACCACAAACTATGAAAACAATCAAACGACTTGATCGATTCAATTCAATCTAAGGCACGAAATGCAATCGATCCGTGTTAAAGATATTGCTAATAAAGAGTCACGAAGAGAATTAAACTTTGTCAAGCATTCTCCAGGATTCGAACTTTCAGTCATGTCATCAGTTTCAGGCAGAACCTAAACATGAAATTGAAGTATAACATTTACAAGTGTGGTCTTTTGTCAGTAGCTCGAAAAAAATTTAAACAAGACTTAACATTGTGTAAAACTTCAAGAATACAATGACAGCAAATACATGCCATAGTTAGGAATCCATTGGACAATGAATAATGAGATTCATAAAACCGATTGCTCATCTATGTCACTCAATCTTGCAATTATCGAAAATCTTTTGACATCCTTCACTTTTAGGTCTATCTAATAATTATCGAATCTGTCTATAGATAAAACTTCTAGTCAAAATTCTTTAGAATGAATTTTTTATTAAAATAGTCGTAGTTTTTCATCGATAGGCAAAGAGTACGAATCGTTTAAAAACTTTTCTTCATGTTAGAGTGATCTATTCATTGTCATCATATAATGTTGAACGGTATTCAACGGATACATATATTTCTTCGTGTAAGATTAAAACAATTTTTAATTTTATTTATCAAATTATAATAACGTAACCATGATATGATCAAAAAATTTCTGTTTTTTTTTTCTGATTCAATTTATGTAAATTTATATGTTCACATTTATGTGCGAAATTCTATTATTCGAATAAACAAAAGAGAAAAAAAACAAAGTGTTTAATAAAAGTTTAACAAGATGTGTCGAATCATCGACAACATCATCATTATCTGTTCAATCAAATCTTCAATATTTTTTTCTTATTCGACATGGAATCTATTTTTCAACAAGTTGTAAAGATGAGGGTCTTATTGAACTTGGTAGAAAACAAGTAATATGCTGATTTTTAGTTAACTTACACTCGAAAATAAATCAATTAGGCATATACAGCAGTTGAAAAAATCGATATACTTGCACGTTCAATAGAAAATTCTTCAAATATATCATCTCATATTCTTTTTACGAATTTAATTCAATACTAATTTTTTTGTATTTAGGAACGTGTTGTTGGTGCATATACAGATCAAATTTCAATTATTTCTAGATTTATTCCAGATAATGAAGAAGAAGCACGTCATATATTATTTATCTTTAATCAATATAACTCTCAAATAATGATAAATAAAGAAAGATTATGTGTGATAGATAGAAACTTAGATAGTGATAATGAAGAAGAAGAGAATGATGATTGAAAAAAAAAACTTATTTCACATTGTTCTACTATTTATAGAAATATTGATTGTTAATGATAAAAAATTTTTATTTTGTATATTCTCTTTCTTTTCTTTGAAACGATTGATTAACTTTTAAAATCTCATAAGAATATATATATATGTTTATGATTTAGACACTAATATCAATTAATAAAGAACATATTGAAGTAGTTAGTAACATAATTCTCTTTCTGAATGTTTCTATGAATTTATCATAAATTAAAATTATGTTGAAGTCGATGGCGTGTTCAACCATGAATCATCAGACAATTATCTACGGCTCAAAAAAGTTACTCCTCATAGATTTTTTTGAACATAGTGTCAATGATCTAAACAGCTTACAAAGCAAAAATCCCTGACTAAATCACTGGTTGAAGTCTATACTTCTGAAATACAAACATGTACATTATTCTCTATAGGAAATGTGAAATCGATCTGAATTTTTAACAATTAGTATCAGTATTGGCTTCAATATATCAGACTTGATCTAGTGATCTTCTCCCTAAATTGTTCGATTCTGCAAAATTTCTCAATGCTTTCTGAAACACCATTTGTTTTTCTATAACAGAATGTGAAATAAAAATAAGTAAATAATGTCATTACGAGCTGAATAGAATTATCAAAATTCACGAAGAAGAATTCGATCACCATGAGTTGTGTTCCTACAAAAATTCCATTATGAGATAATATGAACATCAATAGAAGTTCTGAATAAGTTCATACAAGAAAAACGAAAAAAAGTCAATAAACTAAACAGTTTCTCTCGACATCAGTTTCGTCTCTGATTTATACTATCAAAGTAGTCATAATACGAAAAATAATAAGCAGTGTGCATAAATCCTGTTTGTTTGTTTGTTTCATGATCTATGTACTTCAATGATTTTAAATCAAAAAGCATCCTATAACATTAATAATATGAAAAAAGATTGATTATTCTTTAAATTTTCTTTGTCAATATTTGAATGTACCGTGGATGATGAATGATTAACATTACATACAAAAAATAAAAAAATTTTTATTAAATTTATTATTATTATTTTTCTCTTTGGATATTATTAAAAGAGAAAGAAAATCAGGAAGATAAATATTATATTTTGAAAGAAAAATAAAAGTTTTATTCAATATATACGAAACAATTCAGTTTATATTTGACGATAAAATATTTTTTTTTCTGTAATTAATTATTCCGAACGATTATTGGTCGTTTGTTGTTGACTATTTGGTGATGTATTACCAAAAAGAAAACCGAATTTGACACCTTCACCACAATCACAATCACAATCTGAAAACTTTCATGAGTATTCATTTGTTTTTCACGTAAACAGAAAAAAAAAACAAGAACAAATAATCATACTAATATCATATTGTGAACGATTTATTTGTGTGATAAGTGCTGTAATAAAAGCTGCTTGTGGTGAATCATTTTGTCCGTAGATATCTTCTAGACGTCTTTTACTTGCATTACATTTACAAGAACAATCAGTAAATCGAAAATTAAATCGTTCATGAGCTTCTATCTTCGATTCTTCATTCTTATGAATTGAACTTGAACTGTTGTTACCCATTGAGAATATATATATTTGGAATAAACAGTTTTTAAGAACTAATAATGAACAACATAGAATATTGTAGTAAAAACAAAAAAAGTATTTTTATTTTTAGATTAGGCGCGAAGTTTTTGTTTTTATTTTTTTATTTTTTTGTTATTATATTAATTAATAAATGAGTTTTCTTGTCTCAAAAAAAGAAAAAAATTATTAAAAATATTCATTGTAATTGCATATGTCAATAAACATTTAGATAAAAACTAATATTTTTCTTATAATTTACATACATATGTCAAAAACAAGCATTTCCTTTCTACATTTATCCAGGAAAATTTTTACTGAAAAATACTAACAATTGTCTTCCTTTCTTTTTATAACACGTTTAACATTTCTATCAGTCAAACATTGCTATAATGCATATGAAAAAGCGAGCTTTATTTGAAGAGAAAAAGGTTGACTTATGTGAAAAAAATATAAAGTGATCCAACGTCATAACTTTTATCGTGAAGCAAAAAAAAAAGGAAGTCGAGCCAAGAGAGAGAACCACTATATATAACTAACAGACATAGCAAATATTGATAATGAACATTGATTTGATTATTATAGAAAGAAAACGTCTGTCAGATTCAAAAAATTTTATTCAACGATGGAAGATTCAAAGAATATCTTATTGAATAAACTTCAAGAAGGAGCACTTTTTGTTAAATTTAATGATGATGGTTCATTAAACGAAGGTTTCTTCTATATTTGTCCAAAACTTAAATCTCTTTGTTATAATACATCAAAAAAATTATTTCAAGATTCAACAAATGAATGTAATGTCAATAGTCTTATGTGTTTTTTTTTTCTTTTTTTTTTTTAATTATTTTCAGTTTTCTTTTCTTTATAGATCTTCTGAAAGATTGTGAAGTTCGAGCTGGTTTTAAAACTGATACATGGGTAAAAGTTCTTCGTTTAGGAAAAGTACGAGAACAAAAGGTAATAGTTTCTTTAATTAAAATTCATTTATATAATAATATGATATAATAGGGTGATTTGGCTTTTTCAATTTTACATAGTCGTGGTCGAAAAAGTTTAGATTTACTTGCAAATGATACAGAAACACGTAATAATTGGGTTACATGTTTAGAAACACTTATTCGTGATAGTATTGGAAAACCTTATACAAAAATAACTGATAGGTATATTAATTTCATCTTGAATAACTATGATACAAATAAATTATATTTAGATGGCTTGAAGGTCTATTTATTGATGCGGATAGGGATCGAAATGGTCTTTTATGTAAAGATGAAGTTCATCAATTATTAGAAAAATTAAATGTACGTTTAACAACTGATGAATTTGAACAATATTTTGAAGTGAATATAAAAAAGAAAAAAAAGAAAAAGTTTTTTGATTGAACAATCAAATTAATTAAATATTTTAGCAAACAGATTTACGTGTAGCTAAATATCGAGGACGACTTCGTGTAGAAGATTTTATAACATTTTATAAAATATTAACTTATCGACCTGAATTAATGCATATTATTCATATGTATGTTTATTAAATTTAAAATTCAACTATTGATTGATTATCTGTTGTTGTTTTTTTTTATTCTTAAATTTTAGTTATAGTGGATCATGTGAACTATGTACATGTAATGGAAATCCAACAATATCTATTATTTGTTCAAGATTGACACCAGTTATTGAACAATCAACTGCTGTAATAATTCCGATGACACCTCGACCACCATCATTTCCACAACATCTTGGATTAAT